TGGGCGTGTCTTCTGCAGTCCTCGTCTATCAGCCGGGACTTCAAGCCTGTGCTCTTCCCCGCCCTGCCCAGGAAGACTTTCAGGTTTCTGGTAGGGACGCTCTAAGTGCTTTTGTGGCCCTGGATAAGGCCTCCTCTGGGCCTCTCACTTTCCGCCTGGTACTGCGGCTATCTGTGTAGTTGAGTTATCTCCGACACTAGGGTGTGAGCTCCTCGGGGGAGGATCCCACAGCACACAGTTCCTCCTTGTATCCCCCCAGCACGGGCCGACCCGAGCACCCACCAGCAGTCAGCTCTCCGACAGGTTCAAGCGAGCTTGAGAGCACTCCGGCCTCACCTCTCCCAACCAGAAATCAGTTTGGGGTTCTTCCGAGCTGATGGCCACAGAGATGGTATCTGCCTCCCGGAAACAGGAAGTTTACCTGGGGGCCGAAGCCCAGGGTGTGGTGGAGTGACAATCTGGGTGGGCTCCTCCTCCCTGCCCTCCCGAGGCTGGCCGGGGGCTCCCCCCACCACCAGCCCCGCCAGAGATCCGCGGGGGGCGTGGGATTGTAGGCCGGTCCGCAGGCCCCGGGGGGCCCTGTGCCGAGGCACGCAAGTAACTCGGCTCAGTGAGGAGCCGGGCCAAGCAAAGAGGGCAGGCCTGGCCGATCCAAGCCAGCCGGCCCTGCCCCCACCCGAGAAAATGGAGGCAGCGCTAGTGCCGGTGCCTAGACTGGTGTGGTAGGCGGGAGCTGGGCAGGCGTCTGCCCCGCAAGCGGGGCTGGGCTGGGGGTCACTCACTGAGCTCACAGAGCTGGGCCGGTCCAGCGCCTTATTCTCCATTTCTGTGTCTTTCTTGGCCTTTGTTGCCTCGGGCTGCTCACTCGGTCCCGCAGTGCGGCTTGGGCACTCTCAGGAATCTTCTTTTGTGTCGGCCCTAAAACCTCGAATCTGTAGTTGCTTTTTTGTCGTTGTAGATTAGTTGATCAATGATTTATTCATTTTTTGTTGCTCTTGGAAATGCAAATAGTACTCTGGCAGCACAGCGCACACTTCTCAGGCTCGCACTGTCTTCTGGCACGCCCGCTCCAGACCCGTCGCTATCTTAAACTCCCGTGACCTTCACTTTCTGAGAGGAGATGCCTGAGATCATTTGGCACGACTCTTGTCATTGACTCTCTTCATCAGGGCCTGTTCTGATTCTATATTCTTTACACAACTGCAGGCTTTGAAGGCCAGAAGGGACCCTTAGATATCACAGGGACCTCTGGTTTGCAATTTCTCAAGCTATAGAATGCTTCGTTCATATGAAATCTTCCATGGAAGCCCAATATGTCAGAGATGAAAGTGGTCCCCTTCTGTAGCAGTCCCTGCAGGGAGTTCCTGGGCCCCCTGGCCTCTGCTGAGAACACCTTGGAACCAACGGTCATCCGACCTCTTAGTTTTCCAGAGGAAGGGGATGAGACTCAGAGTAGAGAGTTCTGGCCAAGGTCATAGGGTTAGTTGGTGGCTGATAGGGAATAGACTCCAGGATTCCTGATGCTGGGTCTCTTTTGCACTTTTCAGTTAGTCCCAGAAGTAGAGAAACTCCTCCTTTCTGTGTACATTCCATGTTTTACACCGTCTGTGAAGTCGACCTTCCCTTTGTCTTAGGCACTTCTTCCTCTAAGTTCTCATTTCCTATCTTCCTTCCCTCTTCCTGTGCCCTGGCTGCTTATTTGCCTTGAAGTTCACCCCAGTCTTCACCAGGATGCTAACCCCACTCACTGGCCCGTTGCTGCCTCCTCTTTTCAATCTCCCCTCTTGTGGCTTCACTTCTTGAGTGCCCCACGCTGGCCCATTTCCACCCCACTCTCTCCCTGAGACCAGCTCTCACAGTCAGCATCCCTCCAACCTTGCAGAGTAGAGCTCCAGCACACACGATCCCTCCGTCCCCTTCTTTCCATCTGCATGTACAGGCTCCAGCCTCAGCCCCACATCCCAGACCTGAGTGCCTGCTACTGCCACTTCACCTGTGCTCCTGCCTGTTCCCTTCCTAACATCAAAGTGACCCTTCACAAATGCAAACTTGAGTCAGCCTCCCCACCCAGCTTCATGTTCTTAAAGCACTTCAGTGACTTCTCACACTTTTATGATGAAGACCAAGTCATTAAGGGGTCTCCCGGGTCTCCCTGTGCTGCCTCATCCCCAGCTCTCTTCCCTCACAGGCCCTGGCCACACCTGAAGGCCTGGAAACATGCTGATGCCACAAAAGGGAACGTTCTTCCTCACTCTTCACCTCAGTGCTCATTTATGTTCACCCTTGTTCTCAGCTTAAATCTTAATTCTTCAAAGGAGCTCTTTCTAGCCTGCCAGTCCAAATTGGGTCCTTCTGTTATTAACCCTATATTCCACTTACTTTTCCTAATTTTCATCCGAATTCATAATTCCCATTTATTTGTTTAGTGTCGCTTGCACACTGGATCGAAAGCTCCAGTGAGACGGTGTCAATTTCTCTGCAGCTATGGACTGCCATCACCGAGCGCCAGGCAGGTGCTGCTGAACTCGTGCACAAGCAGACTGCTCTGTCCTGAAACCCTCCTCCTGTGGCTTCCAGGCCAGTGCTGCTGCCTGTGTCCCGACACATCGTCATCAGTTTTTTGGCTTGTCATGTTCTTCTGTGCGTCAGTTTCCCCAGGCTCAGCCCCAGGTCTTCTGCTATGAACAACCTGTGTCCTCCAACCTCTGGACGGTTTTCATACCCATCCCCTCAGGTGTGTGTCTCCATCCTGTTCAGAGCTGAGCCTCCATCCTGCTGTTGATGTGGCACCTGCAGACCCTAGGATGGCCTGCTTCAAATTTCACTTTGGCTTCATTACCATTTTCTTTCTTCACACTGTGATGGCTCCTTGCTCTTCCATCGCTCCCCACCCACCACGCACGCCACGCTGCTGTTCCTTTCTCTCCGCCCCCCACCCCAGAACAGTCTTCACCCAGGCCTTTCCACCATATGCAAACCCCTTTCCTGACCTCACTTCCTGCACAGTCTTTTAACTCTCAGCTTTAGAAACACTGGCCTCTCACTGTCTCCTCAAACCATCGTCCCCAGTCTCAGCGCAGCCTGTTCTCATGCTGCTTCTCCACAAGGGACATGGCAGAGTCTCCCCCATCATTGTCCGGGGCGGGTGTGGGGGCAGGGAGGCAGGGCCAGCCCATAACTTGTCGAGTGCGTATTATAATTCTGGCACTGTGACTAATGTGTTGCATGCACAGAGCAGAGGCCTAACTGTGGATATGCATGGGAGAAGAGAGACCACGTCCATGGAGTCCCCAAAACTTGTGAGGGCATCCTCCACGGAGATGACAGATAGCACAGAGACTGCCCCTTCCCTCCCCAGGGGATAACTGTGTTCTCTTTCCAGCACAGCCTCGTGCTCTCCTGAAATGTACTCTCAAGTGATATCCTGGTGCCAGCTCCTGGATCCCTCCTGGTCTGCAACTTGGGCCATGCCCAAAGCCAGGGTTGCAGTGTTCTCAGTCATCTTCTCTCAAACCTCCTCTTGGTGCCAAGACAACAGAAAGCCTAGAACTTGGGGACTTTGAAGGCTCCCTACGTGTCTTTTCCTAGTGTTGCTGTCTGGGGCCCAATTCCAGAAACTCAAGTGCTTGTTTTCTATGATTCCAAAAGAAGAGAAGAGGGAAAAGGCTTGGACTGCTGCTTAAAAATGTAATTAGTATCATATTTTAGTGACATTTTGACAATAATTGCCTCCCAACAATGCTGAGAAATCTGCAGCACAGACTCCCCGGTGCCACTGTCAGAGTGAGTGATACTGAAGCCCTGTGCAGAGGGGATGCAAGGGCTGGTCTGCTCCTAAACCCTGTTTTCCCTTCCCCTGCACTGGCTCAGAGGCTATTCTCATGGCCAGCACTGCTGTGTGTAGACTCACCTACAGGTTATCTTTTCTAAAGGGCCAGGGTTTGCCAGACTACCGAGCCATTTAAGAAGAAAGGTGAAAGAAGCTGTTCCTGATGCAGCAACTGAGAAACACTCTATTTGGAACTGGTCCCACTCAGACCTTCTGCCGGCAGTTCACTTCAGTGACCAGGGCGAGTTCACAGGGGTTATATATAAGGCAACAGCAAAAATAGTCTCCAGAGTGGAGCCTGAATGGTGCAGGAGGCCTCATGCTCAACAGCACATGAGCTGAATCTTCAGACACTGCATTCAACCAGCAGTTTGCTTATTTTTAGCAATTAAACCATTTTTCTCTTCATTTTGGGGGGAAACATTTCACAGTGATGACTAGTTTCTGTTTTTAACACTGTGATAATCCACGTGTGAATGGTTCCTATCGACACCAGCCCTTGCTCTGTCATGCCCTGCTCGCTCCTAGGCCAAAGCCAGCTCACTGAGGCCAGGGCTGGGCCTGGATGCAAGAAAGGGGATGGAACACCTAGACATAGGTTCTTGTTGGAGCAGGCAGGTGACTGGTCACATTCTAGGCTAAGCACGGGTGAGTTTTTATCAACTCGAGCTGGCATTTTAGGTACCTATTTCCCTTCATTAGGATAACTCAGAGTCACAGACAAAGACCAACATGCTTGTCATCTCCCAGTGGATTTTCTTACCTGTTTGCTTTTCTTCCAGGTCACATTTACCAGAAAGGAAAGGGTGGTCAGCAGGACCCAGGGAACCTAACCTAACCTAGCCATCCCTTGTGAAAGAGGCTGGAAAGAGACAGACTTTGGGGTCACCACACCCCCTTCACACCATACTCTCTGATGTGATGAAAAGGGGCTCAAAATCCCATGGCTCATTCCATGCCCAGGGCCACAGTCAGCCCAGGGCCCTCTTCTCCCCACATAGGTCACCACTTGAGGTTTGTTTCTGGCTGCTGAAGAGCCAACCCATTCTGATTCCAGGTGCAGCTTCCCACCCGCTCCCCGGGAAGAGCCCCAGCCCCTGGGTTTGCCGTGCCTACTCACGCCAGCCTGGCCCCACAGTTTTCTCCCTCGATGTCACCTCCAGCCACGTGTTCAGTGTTGACAGACTCGGTCTCACTTGTGGGCATGCTCACTGCAAGAATCAAAGAGATGCAAAGCAAGGCATTGGGGGTGGGAGAGAAGTGGATGGAAGAGCATTAGTGGCAGCATACCCAGCCCTGAGCCTAAGCACTGACCCATCTGTGAGGTGAGGCCCTGGCACTGCCCTGGCCAGGTGCAGGGATTCCCATGACTGACACGTCTGCTGCTTTTCTGTCTGCTACTTGCTGAGGGCAAGTTTTGCTGCCAAGGACACTGTAGGTAGTTGGAATGTGGGAAGAAATCTGGTGATAAGGTGATTTTACCTTATAGGACACATCCTGAAAAAACTGAGCATTGAATTCGTCCTATTCTTTCTCTATCTTCAACTCTATGGCCTCAGAAGAGCTGTGGAAGCTTTTCCATTTGCAACTACAAGTCACCATAGAAAGAGGAGTTTTCACAAAAATATTTTGTTTCCCTTACTTCTTTCCACCCACCAACTCTAAGGAGCTCCATCCCCAAGACTAGGGTCCAGCTTGTTTGCAGAAAGGGCATTTTTGCTGCCTGCACAAACTACCAGATGGATTTGGAGGACTGCCCCTTTCCTGTAGTTCAGGCTGGGTCCTAAGTCAATTACATCTAGGACTATACCTGAAACAGAGACCTTCAAGTGAATGGCCATTACCAGAACCATGCACCAAGACTCAGACTATCACTGCAGACCTTAGGAAAGAAGGAACCCAAGTGTGGAGTCCACAAAATTAAGTTTAAATGTGGCCTGAAGACTGCCTACCTGGGTACTATCTCCCCTTTCAGCAGTGCTGACATTCCCATCTCAACAGGTTGACTTGCGATACTAGACCAACCTGTCCAGTCAACATCCAGCCCCTTCCCAAGGCATCAGTGGGCTGGATTTCCAGAACAGCAGGAGTTTTCTAGCTTGGGGCCGAGTTTGGTTTATAATCGATTTTATTATTTTATTATTATTATTTTTCTTCCAAATAAAAGTTTAACTCAAAGAATTCTTTTCCATCACCTTCTATCACCCTTTCAACATGGCACAACAAGTCCCCTGGTTTGGCCAGCCCTGCAGAGTGGCCATTATATCATTTGTCCTGGTCCAGCTCTCCTTCCAGAGCAGAGCTCCTCACCTGGTGAGACAGTCACTAGCCCTCAGCAGCCAGAGAGTCTATAGTCATTGAGGGGTGGCATCAAGTGACAAATTCCCAGGGGACTGCCACAGCCCAGGAAGACTTCTACTGGCTATATGAATAAAGTTGACGAATGTGGATTTTCCCAGTTTCCTTTCTTTTGAATAAAGACAAGCCAAGGTGAGTGAGAAGAGGCTCATTTCAAGAACATGGTAGAAACAAATAGAAAGCCTGTCGCTTACCTACCATGTGCTTGACTGTCATGTATGAGAGACCTCTCCGACCTAGGACACCTTTTCAATAAAGTTGGGTATAAAGAAGTCCAGGTGTTATCTCCCGGACATTTATTGCTGGGTGGGATTTTAGAAGTATCAAGCTCTAACTTGTCCCCCACTTCACAGGAGAGCAAAGTGAGGCCTAGACAAGGGGTGGGATGCCCAAGATCACACGTGTGCTTGGGGTAGGATGGGGACCTGGGCATGAGCATCTTGCCCCTGCACCAGGCTCATCTTGATTGTCCCAGTGTGACCAACTCCCTATTCTACACCCTAGGACAAGACCAGTTTCTTAAAGCCAAATCAGGTTCTGGGAGCCTCATGGGATGGCAGGGAATAAGCAAACATTGGTGTTGAATTTTACAGCATTTGTGCTCACTCTACAGCCCAAGGTCCGACGGAGCTGGTGAGACCAGAAATTAGGGATGGTTTTGGCACTAAGAGCTGGGAAGACAGAGCTTCGGAGCTTGCCAGGTCCTTCTTCGCTCAATCCACACTAAGGAAGACATCATAAAATTGAAGAGCATTCAGTCTTTCAATCCATCCATCTCCAGCCATCTCCAACCTAAGGCTCTTTTACCTCTCTAGTCATCACTGGAAGGGCTCAGCCATGTATGGAAAGCTGCTGACCTTGTGACACTTTGCTCCCAGAGAGTCCCTTATGTGCTAATGGAGTGATGTGGTGGTGGTGGTGGTGGCTTGGAAGAACAACCCAATTGGGAGTGGGCAAGTCTGGGCATAGGAGTAACCATACCCAGGCACTGCCTGTACCAGTACCGATGTATTTACAGTGACCTTAACCTTGGCCAGCACTATCCAAAGGAAGAGCTCTATCAAGGAACAGCTGCTGCTGGCTGTCATGTCTTCTGACTTTATATGAAGAGATGATAAGGCAGTGGCTTTGATTGGGACAGGTAACCATCCCCTCAAAAAAACATACATACACACACATGCACACACACACATAACTACTGCATCGCAAGCCATCAAGACAAACACCCTTCTGACCAGTCCAGTAAGTACTAACATGCAGTTACACACACAGAGCACATGGGAACATTACCATGGGTTTCTGTGGAGTGCCTAAACCAAGCAAACTTCCCTTTCTTCTGATCAAGCAAGCCTGCCAGAGTGCTTCCTTTCACAGACAAGATGGTCAGTGTCAAGAACCAGGAGCAAGACATCAACAGAACATGCAGTCAGCCACGGGCAAAAGAGAGAAACAAGGAACTCAGCTTCATGTAGAACATCCATTTCATCTCCAAAAATAAACCACAAAAAGTGTAAAAAGCAATAAACCAAAACGTATAAGAAAACATAACAAAATGGAACCAAAACCCCAAATCACATGAATTAACAACACTAAACAAATGATTAACCCTGGCGAAAAGGCATGACTCCAGCAGAGGCTTCAGTCTACTCTGGTAGATCTGATTGTGACTCCGAGGGGAGGCTTCCCAGGAGGGGGCTGCCTCTCAGCCCTCCTGCCTCCTGTGGGAGCAGCTGCTTCTACAGGCTAGAGTGGGGTAACTGCTAAAATCAGTGGCAAGGTGACTTGTCTTCTGCCCACGAGACTATATTGCAAAGCTTCCGCCTGCAGACTCAAGGGTTCCCCCACCACTTACAACTGGATGACGTCGCTTGCAAGTGGAAAAACTGCCTGTTGAGCTTGCCCCTCAGTCCAGTTCAATCATTCAATTCCATTCAGTAAAGACCCATCAAATGTCTTGGGCCTGATCACATCCAAAACATGTATGTATCTGCTTTTAGTCAGTTTAAGAGTTAAGTGGACAAAGAAGTTGTTAAATTGTCTGTCAATGGGTGGTCTTTTGAGGTTTGTATAAGCTTCTGTTGGATCAGGCTGTCGTTGAAGAGGTGCGTGTTAAAGGAGAGTGGAAAGACCCTAACCCCGGCAAGGGGAAGAGCAGAAGTTGTGCACTTTGCGATGGACTTTAACTGCACCTCTGCCAGGCCACCATGGAGGACGCTGGGAGTGCGTGGTGAGCAGGGTACTGTCGCAGCCACTTTGTAAGCAGCAGCAGCATGCTAAGGCTGGAGATGGACCGCCACGGGGAGAGGAAGCACACGCCTGACGCCCCATTGGCTCTGGGAAGGGCATGAAGGGAAGGCCACTCGAGTTGTAGGTGCTTCCTGACTTCACCCTCCTCTGCAGGATCTCAGGTCATGCTCAACGAACTTCCTTGAATGCTGCTTGTTAGTGAGAATTCTGAAGACTAGCTTGTAACAGACAAGGGTCAGGCTTATTTTTAACTCACGTAAAGGGCCACGTCTCAAACACATTCATCTTTAACATACAAAGTGTGGAATAAAAAGAAACTTCACATCCAGTAGCATTTTTTTTTCATGTCTCAACAATCCTGTATGAAAAAGCACTGAGAGTCAGGAGCTGAAATGAGTGACTGGGCTCTAGTTCTCTTCTAGAGAAAGGTGCATGTCATGCTAGAGTAACAGTCACTAAAGTGAGCATCACAGAAGGAGTGGCCTTTTCTCTGGAGGAGTGAGGGTGGACACGTGGCTGCTGGCCATCATGTTTGCCTGCTTGCACAGTTGTCTGAGGGGACAAGAGCCCAGGGCACTGAGGTCTTTAGTACAGAAGCATTATCCAGCTTTTGGCTTTGACATTTTGTTCAGTTTCAGAAACAACGGTACGATAACTTTAAAAGCAATGAGAAGACATAAATACACAGTGTCTAATGTATAACTGAATCTGACCAGGGCTGCTCTTTCACGTGGGCAAAGTTGGCAGCCACCTGAGTGATTTGCAGAACATCTAAGTCATCTCCCTTGGTGACAGGCAGTGGTCCCCATTAGATCTGCTCTTTTGGGTCAAGTCATATATCTGATGGTTCCTTGCTGAAATGAAAATATCTCACCCAGAAGGAGCAGCACATTAACATACCAGTGCCTATTAATCTGTGATAATTTATGCCATCAGCATCTGGGAGAACAAAATGGGTGAAGATGGAAGTTCATGCTCCTACTGCTGAGGGATTAGACAGCAGTATCACAGGTGATTCTTTAAGGGAAACTTAAAGAAAACTGAATGTCCAAATTGCTGAAAGTTTAGAATCATGAATTCTGGGTACTTATTCTATGGATAAGATGAAAGCCTGGCCCATGCTGCAGCCAATCAAATGATGAGTTGGTTGGAAACTAAGATGGAAAGTTGGTAAAGAACCCAGGCATCCACTGGCCGGCCCGGTGGTACACTGCTACAGTGCGCCGCTTGGGAAGCGCGGCAGCGCTCCTGCCGAGGGTTCGGATCCCACATACAGACTGGCCGCTCACTGGCTGAGCGAGGAGCAGGGGCAACACCGAGGGTTGCGATCCCGTAGCCGGTCCCGGTCCGGTACGGGCGCGACACTGAGGGTTGCGATCCGTTGCCGGCCACGAAAAAAGACAAAAAAAAAAAAAAAAAAAAAAACCAA